GCTCTAAACTTGTTCGTTCCCCTTCAGGATGTTGTACTTGCACAGTGGACATGTCGCGTTCATCTTAAGCCATTTAACTATGCAGGTGGAGTGGAAATGATGATTACAGGGGAGAGCATGGAGTTCCGTCTCATCCTCGTACAAGCTAAGACATATACAACATTCCTAGCAAACAAGAAAAAATTTGAGGTATTGGTAACTATTTTATCACAAATAATAAACAGAAATTCTACTATGTCTATTCATATTCAGGAACGCAATCTCATAATGAGGATCCAAACTGAAACAAGAGATCCATACTAAAATCTCGAAGTAAAGTTGTAGAATATGCATACGGCGAAACAGCTCTATTTCCAATATAGTCAGAGCAGTAGGAACAGAATAAAGGAGAAAGAAAATGATAACTGGTTGAGCTTTCCGTGCCACAACGAGGAACTGGCTTTAAGCATTTCTAAGATACGTAATTAACTTACTGCATCCTCAGGTAAAAGAATACGCTCATTGGCCAAGTATCCACTGCTCGTCTCAATTGGTACCATCTTACCAGCTCCTACACTTGGTTTCTCCTCATCCTTGCAGATATGGAATCTATACTTGGGGAGAACTTTGAGGTCTGCTTCTGACGCACCTTCCTGTGTATTATAGGTGAAAGATTGTTACCAGAAACATATGAAGTAAGCTTGTTTTATGGTTTGCTGTCTTCTTACCTGGCCCACTGCATAGAGTACTGCAATTATGCAAGGCAAGCAGCAACAAAGAGCAACTCCTATCAGACATGCCAAAGCAACACAAAAGACGGCAAAGAATACATCGAATGCCAAAAATACAACTGCCAACCTGCAGCACTTTGGATCAGTAATCAAACAGGACTCTTTCTGAAGGTGGTGGTCACAAAAATTTTAAAAAAGGAAAAGAAAACATCTACAATTCATCATGCAGACATATTTTACAGAGAGAGAAAGAATAATCATCCACGGCTTCTTTTGAGATGACAACATATATGCTGTGATGCAATGATAGATTTAAGCATATAATTCAGCTGGTCCGTGACCGAACACTGAATCAGACAGCTAAACCAGATAGAATTAGGAATTAGATCTTATAGGGAACAACTAGAAACTCTAGGCAAACTTGGAAAAAATTGAATTCCCCTTCCCTTTAACAGTCTGTGGTTCTTCTATGTTGCTATTAACAACAATGATGAAAAATGTCAATTCACATAGTGCATGAACTAATTAATAACATCTTTACCGCAACTACCATTACCCAAAATGTGAAAAGATCAAGGTCGCGTTCAGTCAAATATATCCCAAAGATTTGAAACCCCTGTCTATTTGAGCTGTGCAAGTATTACTAGTACGTCTAAAGGAATTAAAATTAAGAAAAACTCAATTAGAGCCTACCTGTAACAGGTTATGCCCGATCTCATTGCTATGACCTACTTTACATCTTGAAATAGGGGAGAATTCCAGACAGGGATTGGAATTTTTAAAATCACAATTTGAAAATAGTAGAGATAAGAAAATACAAGTCCAATAGACGACCATCAACTAAACATCAAAGTTATATAATATAAGAGACTAATACGCACATATTATAACTTTAAGAAGTTTTTCTTGTTTTAGGATTTCTCCCTAGAAATAAAGGCTTGAAGTGATAGTAGATCGTGACATACCAGTATAGACTTGGAGCATTCTGTAAAAGAATATCACCACCAGAGACTATCCAATAAAATCCAACTATCCACCAAAGAAGTGACGCCATTGTATTCACAGTTTCACATCGTTTAGCAACACTGCAATGTCCAGAATGGGAAGGAGTCAATAAATTAAATTTGCCACTTCTACTTCTATAGCAGCGTTAACCAAGAAAAGGAGTATATATCTCTTTTTCGATGCTTAAAAGACACTTAAGATAGTTGGTCAAATGACGGCAAGACATTGTTTCTTCATAATTTCAAATGACGAGAATAAATGCTTCTATATGTCTAAGTAGAAGATCAAAAGGTGCTGATAACATAGCCAAGTTGAATGGCATGTAATTGCCATGCTTCTTTAAGTCGTCGTTTCAGCTTGCAGTGTAACAAATATCAAATTTAACTCATGAAAATCTACTGAGATAGCAGGTCAATCATGATATGAAAGATGGGTCAAAAACCATCAAGGTAAAATCAAAAAGTAAGAATCACTAACATGATACTATCACAAACTCTCAGCATAACAGGGCTACTATCACAAACTCTCAGCATAACAGGGCAAATATACATTATTCTCCTTACATTTTTCATCCCCTTAACCTTGTAAAAGAAATTTATAACACTTTCTCATAAGTTTGGGATCTCTCCTGCAGCTCCTTCTTTTTTTAATAATATTATCCTTCCCTCACACAGGGTTCTCGCAATGATCACATGGATCATATAAAAAATCTTTGTAACCAACAATATAACCCCAAAGCCCACTCATACAAAATCCAAAGCAAGTCACTTGCCTTTGAATCAATGTGAAATGTACAAGCTTCGAAATATTATGCCTAATCATTCTGTTAAGATATAGAGTTTATATCTTAAAAGTGTAAAGCAATTAACAAAATTCCAGCTTCTGAAATACAATCAATATTTACCGTCCTTCATTTGATCAATCCAAATGTTTCATCTGGTTCGACTTCAGTAGTAAAAATGCAAGGCTTCAAATGGATTACGGAATATTGCGTGGAGAGCAAAAAGGGAAAGAATATGCCAACAAAGTAGCCTCTGATGGAATGCACTGGAATTAGGTTTCTCATGTCAATTATAGTTCAAATAGTTTGACAAAGAGAAGGAAAAGATTAAACCAGTTCATAGAAGAGAAATTTGAAAATTTCAATGGCTGCTGGAGTTGTGTTGCATTCACATCCAGGCACTAGTCTAGATCTTGCAGTGACGATCAAATTCTGTAAAGTAGTATTCTTTAAGGAGATGATGAGCATTTTGCTAACTTTCTCAGAGCAAAGATTTATAGCAAGGTCTCAAGAATGTACTCTTCAAGCAAGAAAAATATTTATTTGATCCTAACACTATCACTCAAAAAGAAAGAAGAAAACAGAAATCCACCACTTTCTTTATCAATATACCAATATTTCCTTTTTTTTTTTTGATAAGTAATGAGTTATACCAACATTCAGTTATATCTTCTATACTAATATATTTGTTTCCATTAATTGTGTTCAGTTCTTAGCTAAGTCCGCATGGATTCTAAGAGGTTGTAGTCCCTTTTAACACATTAAATTATCAACATTTATCACAGTACCACACCTACCCGCCGCTAGCTGCACTTGGAAGCTCGTGTAGCCTATAACCAAACCGCCTCACGAGCTTGAATGTAATGCAATAGTGCATCAGAAGTGAAAAACACCCCCCCCCCCAA